CTCTTTAGTTTAGCCCTAACTAATTAACAGCTAATTAAGTACCAATTAGTGCATATTTTATGGTTAATTAGCTCTTAATTTGTATTTAGTATACTGGGCTACAGTAGCTCAGTTGGTAGAGCATTGGCCTTTGGGCCCAAAGGTTGTAGGTTCGAGCCCACCACGGGACCTTCTCCACTGACTCCCACTGATGACTGCTGTTGTTGTGTCCTTGGGCAAGACACTTAACCCCACTTTGATCTCAGTTCCTGTGGACTCACCACCTGCAGGAGGATCAGTGAGGGGCTGGTGCTCTGTGGACTGGGTGCAGCTCTAACTGACACCCCTCCATACTACCTGGCTTTATTCAACATTTAACTGAGTCAGATAACTACTATCTGACTCTTTCCCATGTGGGTTGGGGTCATGGTTAGCGTTAGGGTTAGGGTACACTAACTAGCACTTGATTAGCTGATAATAAGTGGGGGCTAATCTCAAGGGTTATCTTTATTTTTCCCTTAGCAGGAAGTTTTAGACCTGGTTTCCCCGGTTTAGGCGCTGTCAAAGTGATAGAAGCATGAGGACAGCGCCATCTGCAGTCGGACTTCTTCAGGACAGCAGGTGTGTCAGAGTGAAATGATCCTGTTGTCCTGGTTCATAGTCCTGGTAAAACAAATATGGATTTTCTGGAGACATTGTTTTAAGTTGATGAGAAGACCTGATTTTCATTAAGATTTCTATTGTTCTTGCGACAATTGCTGCCTTAAAGTGTATTAGCTAAAGCTGGAGGTGAACATATTGACGAGTCCAGACAATAGATAAGCCCCAGAAGTAAAGGCCAGACACTGGATTAACACGATAATTGGTCTTGGCTTTTGATGAGTCGGGCTAAACATAAATACAATTATGTTTAATCATCCACACGGTCTAATTACACCGTACAGTATTGTGTATTCTGGTTTCAGAGAAGGTCAGCAGAGTCGCACAGTAATGGATGTCAACAATCACCACTCAGAGCTGGTGGGAGATTCAGGTTTTTATATTTTTTGTACTTTACTTTTTTTATTTCAGTATTTCAGACATTTTGGACAATTCTGATAGCTTCAGACACTTGGAGACAAGATAAAAAATTAGCTATGAAAAAGGAATTGGCAGAAACTAAAGCTTATAAAGGCCTGTTTTTTAGTATATTAAACTCACACAGGTATCAACATAAGACATTTACTCCATGATAACGATAATCTCAGCATTCACGATCAACATATTTGGTCTGACAGAAGAGGATCTACTGAGAAAAGTAAGATGGACTGGACACATTTATGCAAAGCTATCCTTCCTCTTTTCACCACGCAAAAATCATTTTCAGTCTGGGTAAAAACATGTTAAACAGGTACTTAAAGCAAGAGTACTAAGTTAAATATTAGTAACGGTCTTACTGTATGTGTATTATTGATGTTTTAAATGTGAAGCGCTTTGTGATTTTGGTCTGTGAAAGGCGCCATACAAATAAACTTGAAAAACTTACTTACTGAAGAAACTTATATTTACGTTAATATTTACAGCTTTCAGACTACACTGGCTACATTACATTGGGTGGCACGATGGCTGAGTGGTTAGCACTCTCGCCTCTCAGCAAGAAGGTCCTGGGTTTCTGAGTGGAGTTTGCCTGTTCTCCCCGTGTCTGCGTAGGTTTCCTCCAGGTGCTCCGGTTTCCCCTACCACTAAAAACATGCACAAGGCGGTATATAAATAAAAATTACTTACTTACATTAGAGGTCAGATCTGTGGAGAGGACCATCTGCAGAAACATTTTTGAGCCATAAAACACTTGTAATCAAACACATGTAAGGATATTTGATGACATGTCAAAATGCTCATGTCTTCTCCATGACATAGTTGTGCGTGCAGCAGTGTCACTCTACACTCAGTCAGACGTTGGAATGTGTGCCTCATAGTGTGCCTTCACCTCCGCCCTCGCCCTGCGTCGCTCTCTGCCCTGTGAACTTCTGAATTCCTGGTTTTCACTTGTATTTTTAGAGATTCCACCTGTTTCCGAGCCGCCCAGGACACAGCAGGATATTCATTCTGATTCGTTCATGTTTATAGTCATACTGTATACTTATATACATGGCAGCTTTTTATGTGTTTGCAGCTATTGGACTGGGACGTGGGGGTAAAATTGTGGATATCCTGAGGGTTGGAGATGAGTGGCAAGACAAACAGTGGAAGTATGCGTGTGTTTGTGCATGTATGTACATGTGTGTATAGGTTTGTATGTTTTTCTAACTGTACTTTGATTGCTAAACTTTGTATTGTATTGTATTGAACATGTCTGGCATCCTGGACAACATTGGAACTCATTGAAAAAGAGACAATCCATCTCAGCGGGGTCTATCCTGAATTAAATAAATAAATATTCCACACCCATTACTCCCCTCTTTGCTCGTCTGATCAGTGCTACAGCAAAAGCACTGATCTTTCTGATTCATCTTTGCAGGGGAGATTCAGCAGTATTCACAGACATTTTTGCTTGAAGATAAAAATCCTCTGATTGCTGCCTTTATCTGTGGTTAGAGCAAAGCCTGCAGAACCTGTTGATGTGGTCAGCAGAAATACAGAAGAGCACACACTTGTTTCTTTTCTATTGTCATTGTAATCTAATGCACCAAACATGTCATACAAACTTTTCCATTTAAAAACTATTTTCCAGCCTTTCTAACAGACTATATTATCAAGGTTGAACCCAGTGCGACTATTGAACTTAAAGGTGATCATCATAAAGTGTGTAGTATAATAATTACTTTCCCCCTTTGACCTCGAGAACATTTTGAATTAGCTGTCCAACTTTGTGGAAGTGGAAGTCCTTGGGGGAGACGGGGCGGTCGAGTGCAGGGTCACCATTTAAAGCAGCGTTGTGTCAGCAGCAGCGAGCAGAAGGCTGTTCCGGGCTGAGTGTGCAGATGGAGGCCAATGGGACCACACGATAATGCACAAAGGAGGAGGAGGAGGCGGAGGAGGAGGAGGAGGGCATAAAGGGGAGGTGGGGGAGAGTGAAGACAGTAAGGGCCAGATGCTGAGGGACCAACACAGGGCACAAACAAAACATCAGTTACGCAGGACATGGAACTGGTCACTTCATTGTTGCCACACATTTTTCCACAAAGTGCCACCAACTGCAGGCTTCCAACTGCTGTAGTATCTCATTTACAGTCGGCAATGCAATTCATCAAATTGACTCCAACTGCCTCCTGCTTTAACTGCAGCACAGCGGCTGAGAGATTAGAACTCACACTGCACACACTACAGCGAGTCTGTGGCTTTCAATCAAGGACTGTGAGGTAGAAGCCCCACCCTGCTCTGCAAAAAGTCACACACTATGAGATAATAATTGCTTAAATCAAGTGTTTTCTGTCTCAAAGCAACACTGTAAAGAATTTCCTTGTAGAAAAACTGTAAAAAGCTGGCAAATATGGTTCATGGGATTTACTGTTTTCTCAACATGGCATCACCGTTGCTAATTTTAACGGTTAAATACTGTTTCACGGACTCACATTATGACTTTGTGATTTCAGGATTTAACTGTTCCTGTTCATTCACTACAACAAAAACAGTATTATAATGTTAACTTTGTATTATTACACCATATGACTGTTTCTGTTTCTAATTAGTTTCATTGAAAAAAAAAACTACGCAGTTTAATTTTGTTTTCCTTTAATGAACACAACTTTTCAAATATGTTTTAACGTCTTCAGTTTATACAAGAAAATAGTTCTTCATCTTTAATTCTAAAACATGCTTAACACAAAATCATCATTTTAACAAAAGCAGAATGTACATCTCTTACACTCATGGTTACTTGGAGCAAACATTTCCCAGCATTGATGCAAGTTGATGTTAAATTAGTCACATGTGATTTTATGGTATTGTCAAAAAAAATTGTAATCACATTATAATTGTGGTAATAAAACGCCACTGGATGTTTTTTAACCAATTTATACTTACATTTGCATATTTGAATTGTTTTTCAAAATAACATTTGTTTAATGTTGAAATTTCATTGTCATTTTACAGAAATGTGTTTCAGTGAATATTTGCCAATGGGACAAAACCATTTAGTTGCATGTTTATCTCATTCCAAAGGAGACATTTCTTGTATCTTTTTAAAATATGATAATTTTTCTTGTCCCAAAGGCAATTCTTGTTTTAACGCAGTCAAAATGTGCTCATAATATGCTACATTTTGCCAAATTCAAGCAATGTTTAATTATTTTTTTTAAGTCACTTTTTGCAGTGGGAGCCAGGTCTGAGGTTGGGGCTTGTATGTGAGGGTCTGGAGAGCAAATGAGGGTGAACCAACGAGGTGGGCCTGCCCCCCTGTGGACCCATCAGCTGCAGAGGATTTCATGGGGGTCGGATGGTGGTCGAAGGCGGTCGAAGGCGGTCGAAGGCGGTCGAAGGCGGTCGAAGGCGGTCGAAGGCGGTCGAAGGCGGTCGAAGGCGGTCGAAGGCGGTCGAAGGCGGTCGAATGCGGTCCAAGGCGGTCGAAGGCGGTCGAAGGCGGTCGAAGGCTGTCGAAGGCGGTCGAAGGCTGTCGAAGGCGGTCGAAGGCGGTCGAAGGCTGTCGAAGGCGGTCGAAGGCGGTCGAAGGCGGGGCCATCTGTGAACCAGTCCATGCACGCAGAATCTCAATGTTCTCACCCTCATGGTCATGAGCTGAACTCACAGAGTGGCTAGGTGCTTCTTACAGAGATAGGGTGAGCTCGGTGTAGAGGCACGGTGGCTGAGTGGATGGAACTCTCGCCTCTCAGCAAGGGTCCTGGGTTCGAATCTTGGTCGGAACAGGGCCTTTCTGAATGGAGTTTGCATGTTCTCCCTGTGTCTACGCAGGTTTCCTCCGGGTGCTACCACTAAAAACATGTACAATAGGTCTGAATGTAAATGAGAGAGTGAATGGATGGTGTTGGAGCTGATGGTCCAGTGTGTTCTGGACTCGCTTCTGTCATCACCGTGTGTGGAAGGATTGGAACAATATCTGACTCTGAACTTTGTAAAGCGCTTTGGGTGACCTTGGTCTGTAAAATGCGCTATATAAATAAACATTACTTACTACTATAGCTGCTGCTTCTCCATGGCAAGAGGAACCAGTTGGTTACTGTGGCATCTGTTGGGGTTCCTAGAAGGACCAGGACATTTTGGAAGGACTGACATGGGATTGTTGGCAGAAACAAGGTCAAGTTTCTACAGACGTACTTTCTCTGAACTATACCACATGAGACTGTTTAGAAATGTAAGCCTGACAGTTGTGTCTTGTTACTGGACAACACAGAAAATAGAGTATTCTGAGTAGAGATTAGGCGTTTCTTTCTGTCACATTTCTTCACTTTAGTTTCCCCCATCAACCCAAAACATAAAGATAAGACCAACTGCTTGTCTTGAGTCCTCACCATAGACTGTATATATTAACGGACGTAGTCATGTCAATCTCCACCGTTCTAACTAATGGACAAAAAATTGGGCTTTCATGGAGTGATTCAAAATGGCCGCGGGGGCTGGAAAATGTGAAAAAACGCATCTACGCATGTGTCAGCTGCACGAGCTTCATTCATTTAAAAGAGTGACTTCAAAACTTCACAGCGACTAAACTAGACCGGTCCAAAATAATTCACTCCCCTCAGCATTGACAAACATGTGGAACGGAGCTTTGGGCCAAGAGACAACTTTTGGACCATCCTGTAAGAGTGTTTTTGAGAGGTAAGAAGATGCTATATGTTAGCACTGGCTAATTCTTTTTCCGTAGTAAACCATTTAGGTTTACTATTGCAACAACACATCATCAGTAGGGTAAAACTAACCTGTCTCACGACGGTCTAAACCCAGCTCACGTTCCCTATTAGTGGGTGAACAATCCAACGCTTGGTGAATTCTGCTTCACAATGATACACCAGTGAACCTTATCTTTCTTGGTTCAACCCATCAAAATATGTTTGTTTTTGGTGACCTTTGGAAAATTATCCAAATAATTCATTTTAAAAAGGCCATTATACACTGTTTATGTGCTCCTCCCCATTACCAGGCAGGACCGGGTCTGTACTGTGCCCTTCTGTGCCAAGTCAAACGGCCTGAGGGGAAACCAGTGGTCGTTATGGTCATAATCAAATAGTCTGGCTGCCCCCAACCCACACGCTCTGGTCTGTCCCAATAATATTTCCGCTGGTGTGTTTTGATAATGGCCACAATGAAAGTTCAGATGGAGTTCATGGCAGACCTTGATAGTGTCGTTAAACAGAGGGTCTCGGCACGCCTCCATAAAAACAGGGACCGGAGGTGGGACAGAATGGTTCATTAAGAGTGCGTTCTGTAGAGTGCCAAGTCAACCCAGGTACATTTGAATTGGTCCAACTCTGGTGCTGGTCGCAGCCTTGCATATGACTGGTTTGTTCTATTCATTCTCTTCTTAACAAGCTTTTATTCTATTGTATTTGTTTTCTATTGTATGCTAAAATTGACGTGTGTTTTTGTGTTTAGTCTCTGTCAAGCGCTTTGTTTCATTTTGTGTATGAATTGTGCTGTAGAAATACACTTTAATTGATTGAAAGTAATGACAGGTGATCTCTATGATAAAAAAGTTAAGATGAAACTTTATTGATCTCCAAATGGAGAAATAAGATCACTCAGTGTGTGCAAATAGACCGGAAATGTGCAAACAGTAAAAAGTCCATGAACTTCTGCAATTCAACTTGCCATGTGAAACTAATAAATTTACAGGCAACGATAGATATATCAATCCTTTTTATTCTACCCATCCAAGCTTAATCAAATCAATCATAGTTTAAGTATGACTCTTAATCACAAAGTAGAATAAAAATTAGCAACCAAAATGGGAATATGTTTCTCTGCTCGGGACCAAATACCAAGAATTCAGTCCCACAAAGGACATTTCTCACTTTGCCTGTATTGTTTAAATGTTTCACATTTAAAGTTGAATTACAGAAATAAATTTAACTTTTCTTTATTTTCCCAAGTTTACGTGTATTTACATTATTTTAATGTCCAAACAGTGTGTAATATTTCTCATCTAATTGTCTCATGTTGATAAACTCTTCTGTTGCATATGCAGTACTTTTCTACCCCTGACCACGCAACTCTGTAAGTACATACCCCAGAGCAACTCTCCTCCTCCATCACCGCTCATTCTAATGCACCCAGTCCACTCCATGTCCTTCTGCATTCCTATCAGTGCAATAAACCCCAGTTATAGAGTTTGATCTATATTCCTATGTGCGGCGCTAATGACCCTAAGCAGTCACACACAAGCTCACCCGTCTCCCATAAAGCAGCTCCTGCATCACTCACGGCGCTCTGGACTGGGCGTATCGCAGAAGAGGTGAGAAGACCATCCGTCAAGACACTCAAGTGGCTGACGGACATTTGATTTGTCAGAAGCAGTAACCTTGAGCCGTGTTACGATGTATCTCACACCACGCATGAGTGATGGGTCTGCGTGGCCACGGCACAAACGAGGACAACTGGAAAGTGAGGACCATTGTTGGGACTGAAAATTCCCCGCACTGGGACTAATAGAGGTGTTCTAGTCGTGTAGCGTGAGGGGATAGGAATCAGGCTGGTTTATAGTGCATTGTATTTGCCCATAGCACCATCAACATATAACCGTAATCACATTGTTCTTGAATTAGTTGTGGTTGTATATTATAATGACAAGGGCTGGGTGAAGTTCTGACGGCCATCCCCCCGACCCAGAAATGGATTAAGGGGAAGAAAATGGATGGATCGATGGAGGGGCTGCAAAACTACAGTATGTGTCTTTTCAACTGACAACCACAACATAGAGAAAGAAATTGTAGAAAAGATTATGATAAATTAGGCAAAAATGATTGATAATTAAATTGTTATTGCCACATTTCAGATAATTCAAGAATCAACTGGTCTATGTTAACATGTGAAAGAATTATGACAGATTGTTATAGATCAGGGGTGTCCAAAGGATTGCCCGCGCATATTTTTCAGGTTTATTTTTGAAATGCTGTTTTCAAGTGTTGTATTTTTTTACCATATTTATCATTTATAAACAGCCTGCAGGTTTGACAGTCTTGAAAACCTCAGAATTTATACTGATACTGAACAAATGCCAACATTCACCGCTGCTCTGAGGCCCTCTATACTCGATGTGTCTTTTAATGAACCTCAAGACCTCAATTAAAAAGTTTGAAAGAAAATCTGTAATCTAGATCCAACCATTCCAAAATAAATGACAGCTGACAAATGTGTTTTCACTGGTGACGAGATCATGACATGTTTTTATTAGCCACTTTTCATTTGCATTGAACACATGTATTTATTAACTCTAACTTTCTGACATGGTGTTGTGTGATAACAAACGAATAGATTCCAAAAAAGAAAAATAATACTTGACAAAGATGTAATGATGACACGCAGATCAATCCACACTTTAGAGTTTTGACATAATCTCTCAGCAGCTCGACAGACAAATGTTTATGTTGTTTTTAATATTTTATCCCAAAACATAAACATTGAGTTCTAGCGGTTAATGTTCCTACGCCACACTCACATGTCTTTGCTATGTGTGGCTGTGTTAGCAAATGTTTTTTCTAGACAAAGTATCATTTTGAGTATTTTTTCACTCACTCTTTAGGTTATGGTTATACTAGGGGTTGGGTTAGAAGAACTAGTTTCTATGGATATGTGTTGGGTTTTCCGAAGGGTAAGGTACTATTCTGGTCAAAGCGAACGTTGGTTAGGATAAAGAAAAAAGTGGCTTGAATTGATAAGCAAATGTTATGCTAATAGCCCCCTCATTTATATAAAAAAAAATCCTTTAAAATTAGGCTCTTTTTTACCAAATATATCATAGATTTGCATTAAATTGAGGGAACATAGAGGACTGAGGAATTTTCCCAAATGTAATAAAATAAAATCTTAGAAATGATGGCTTTGGGAACATAGGGATGAACCCATGATATGCTAATATGTATGATGCTAACAGCTGTTTTGTTATAAATTATGCAATACCACTGAATGCTAAAAATGAGAAACATCTCTTGAAACAAAGAAGAGATGCAGAAATGGTAGTTATAAAAGTAGTAAGCAGGTGATCTGTCCTTTTCCTAAATGTAAAATATAGATAAAATGCATTGTTATTATTATTATTTTGTTTACGCTTAGCTTCCACCATGATTCAGAGATGCTGTGATCTAGGCCAACACTGATCCCCATCGACTTCGCACAGCCATAACCACACCAGAAGTTCATAGATCATCAGACTCCGGGACAAACTCTGGCTGATGGGATATGGTGATGATGGGGGCGGGGCCACGGTGGGACGTCACCCATCCGGACGCGGCTCTGTTGAAGGAGGGTCTGTCCAGAGCGGGGGCTGCGGCCGAGCTCTGGGCCTGGAGCTCGGGGAAGTCCAGGAGAGCTGCGTCCTCCCCTCCCAGCGAGCGGAGGGGAGGCACTGGGCTGGACGTCCTGCTGAAGCCGCCAAATGGAGTCGCCACCCTGGAGGAAACAAGAGCAAGGTCACGTTGAGCAAGATGACATTCAAGGCAAGGCTTAAAACAGTCTTCTTTTTTTTTTTTTTTGTGAATATATGTCTAAATCTTTGAGTGTGATATGTATGTATTCTCATTGTCACCTGTATGTATGTATATAGGTTTACATATGTTTATTTTTTACTTTTTATCTTAGTTTATTTTATTTTTATTTTATTTTTCCTTTGCTCTTTGTTATCTTATTATTTATCATTATTATAATTTTTTTTATTTTTTTTATTTTTTAATTTTTATTATTATTATTATTGTATTTTTATTTTTATTTATATATATATATTTTTTTTTTCCCCGATCCCCTCCCCTCCCCCCCCCCCCCCCCCCCCCCATGATAAAACACAATAAATATCTCAGTCATAAAAAAAAAAAAAAAACAGTCTTCTTTAGTATAGCATATGGTTTGGTAGGTGTGACTTAGGACTCCTCTGCTCCCACATGTTTGAGATGCGATCAGAGGGACTCGCTCATCCATGCTTTTTGGTATTGTGAGAATATACGAAGATCCTGGACAGCCATTGAAACATGGCTTTCAAATGTATGTAAGCAGAAATTTGTCCTTACGCCCAAAGTTTGTCTACTTCAGAACATGGACAAAGTTAGATATCCAATGGGATGGCAAATCATTGTTTTCGCACTGGTTTACAAAAAAGTAATTCTGCAGAACTGGAAAAGCAGAGACGTTCCAGGATTAGATAAATGGAAGTCCTTATTAAAATAATATTTAAGCCTTGAAAGAACCCTGTCAGCGGAAAAGAATACCAAGTACAATTTAACTATGTATGGGGAACAATCTATGAAGCTCTATAATCAACCCAACAATGCCGTAAAAAAAAAAGACATAAATAAATAAAAGTAATTTCAAACATTGTTAGACCTATTTGAGGAGTGGAGCACCAGGATTGAATGAGAATGGGAGTGAATGTCGTCTTGTCCGTCTGTGTCTTGTCTGTCTGTGTCTGGTCTGTCTGTGTCTGGTCTGTCTGTGTCTGGTCCGTCTGTGTCTTGTCTGTCTGTGTCTTGTCTGTCTGTGTCTGGTCCGTCTGTGTCTGGTCCGTCTGTGTCTGGTCTGTCTGTGTCTGGTCTGTCTGTGTCTTGTCTGTCTGTGTCTGGTCCGTCTGTGTCTTGTCTGTCTGTGTCTTGTCTGTCTGTGTCTGGTCCGTCTGTGTCTGGTCTGTCTGTGTCTTGTCTGTCTGTGTCTGGTCTGTCTGTGTCTGGTCCGTCTGTGTCTGGTCTGTCTGTGTCTGGTCTGTCTGTGTCTGGTCTGTCTGTGTCTTGTCTGTCTGTGTCTGGTCCGTCTGTGTCTTGTCTGTCTGTGTCTTGTCTGTCTGTGTCTGGTCCGTCTGTGTCTGGTCCGTCTGTGTCTGGTCCGTCTGTGTCTGGTCCGTCTGTGTCTGGTCCGTCTGTGTCTGGTCCGTCTGTGTCTGGTCCGTCTGTGTCTGGTCCGTCTGTGTCTGGTCCGTCTGTGTCTGGTCCGTCTGTGTCTGGTCCGTCTGTGTCTGGTCCGTCTGTGTCTTGTCCGTCTGTGTCTGGTCTGTCTGTGTCTGGTCTGTCTGTGTCTGGTCTGTCTGTGTCTGGTCTGTCTGTGTCTGGTCTGTCTCTGTCTTGTCTGTCTGTGTCTGGTCTGTCTGTGTCTGGTCTGTCTGTGTCTTGTCTGTCTGTGTCTGGTCTGTCTGTGTCTGGTCCGTCTGTGTCTGGTCCGTCTGTGTCTGGTCTGTCTGTGTCTGGTCTGTCTGTGTCTTGTCTGTCTGTGTCTGGTCCGTCTGTGTCTTGTCTGTCTGTGTCTTGTCTGTCTGTGTCTGGTCCGTCTGTGTCTGGTCCGTCTGTGTCTGGTCCGTCTGTGTCTGGTCCGTCTGTGTCTGGTCCGTCTGTGTCTGGTCCGTCTGTGTCTGGTCCGTCTGTGTCTGGTCCGTCTGTGTCTGGTCCGTCTGTGTCTGGTCCGTCTGTGTCTGGTCCGTCTGTGTCTTGTCCGTCTGTGTCTGGTCTGTCTGTGTCTTGTCCGTCTGTGTCTTGTCTGTCTGTGTCTGGTCTGTCTGTGTCTGGTCTGTCTGTGTCTTGTCTGTCTGTGTCTGGTCTGTCTGTGTCTGGTCTGTCTGTGTCTGGTCCGTCTGTGTCTGGTCTGTCTGTGTCTGGTCCGTCTGTGTCTGGTCTGTCTGTGTCTGGTCCGTCTGTGTCTGGTCCGTCTGTGTCTGGTCCGTCTGTGTCTGGTCTGTCTGTGTCTGGTCTGTCTGTGTCTGGTCCGTCTGTGTCTGGTCCGTCTGTGTCTGGTCTGTCTGTGTCTTGTCCGTCTGTGTCTTGTCTGTCTGTGTCTGGTCTGTCTGTGTCTGGTCTGTCTGTGTCTGGTCTGTCTGTGTCTGGTCTGTCTGTGTCTGGTCTGTCTGTGTCTTGTCTGTCTCTGTCTTGTCCGTCTGTGTCTGGTCTGTCTGTGTCTTGTCTGTCTCTGTCTTGTCTGTCTGTGTCTGGTCTGTCTGTGTCTGGTCTGTCTGTGTCTGGTCCGTCTGTGTCTGGTCCGTCTGTGTCTGGTCTGTCTGTGTCTTGTCTGTCTCTGTCTTGTCTGTCTGTGTCTGGTCTGTCTGTGTCTGGTCTGTCTGTGTCTGGTCCGTCTGTGTCTGGTCCGTCTGTGTCTGGTCTGTCTCTGTCTTGTCCGTCTGTGTCTGGTCTGTCTGTGTCTTGTCTGTCTCTGTCTTGTCTGTCTGTGTCTGGTCTGTCTGTGTCTGGTCTGTCTGTGTCTGGTCCGTCTGTGTCTGGTCCGTCTGTGTCTGGTCTGTCTGTGTCTTGTCTGTCTCTGTCTTGTCTGTCTGTGTCTGGTCTGTCTGTGTCTGGTCTGTCTGTGTCTGGTCCGTCTGTGTCTGGTCCGTCTGTGTCTGGTCTGTCTGTGTCTTGTCCGTCTGTGTCTTGTCTGTCTGTGTCTGGTCTGTCTGTGTCTGGTCTGTCTGTGTCTGGTCTGTCTGTGTCTGGTCTGTCTGTGTCTTGTCTGTCTCTGTCTTGTCCGTCTGTGTCTGGTCTGTCTGTGTCTTGTCTGTCTCTGTCTTGTCTGTCTGTGTCTGGTCTGTCTCTGTCTTGTCTGTCTGTGTCTGGTCTGTCTGTGTCTGGTCTGTCTGTGTCTTGTCTGTCTCTGTCTTGTCTGTCTGTGTCTGGTCTGTCTGTGTCTGGTCTGTCTGTGTCTGGTCCGTCTGTGTCTGGTCCGTCTGTGTCTGGTCCGTCTGTGTCTGGTCCGTCGTGTGTCTGGTCCGTCTGTGTCTGGTCCGTCTGTGTCTGGTCCGTCTGTGTCTGGTCCGTCTGGTGTCTGTGTCTGTCTGTCTGTGTCTGGTCTGTCTGTGTCTGGTCCGTCTGTGTCTGGTCCGTCTGTGTCTGGTCCGTCTGTGTCTGGTCTGTCTGTGTCTGGTCTGTCTGTGTCTGGTCCGTCTGTGTCTGGTCCGTCTGTGTCTGGTCCGTCTGTGTCTGGTCCGTCTGTGTCTGGTCCGTCTGTGTCTGGTCCGTCTGTGTCTGGTCCGTCTGTGTCTGGTCCGTCTGTGTCTGGTCCGTCTGTGTCTGGTCCGTCTGTGTCTGGTCCGTCTGTGTCTGGTCCGTCTGTGTCTGGTCCGTCTGTGTCTGGTCCGTCTGTGTCTTGTCCGTCTGTGTCTGGTCTGTCTGTGTCTTGTCCGTCTGTGTCTTGTCTGTCTGTGTCTGGTCTGTCTGTGTCTGGTCCGTCTGTGTCTGGTCTGTCTGTGTCTGGTCTGTCTGTGTCTTGTCTGTCTGTGTCTGGTCTGTCTGTGTCTGGTCCGTCTGTGTCTGGTCCGTCTGTGTTTGGTCTGTCTGTGTCTGGTCTGTCTGTGTCTTGTCTGTCTGTGTCTGGTCCGTCTGTGTCTTGTCTGTCTGTGTCTTGTCTGTCTGTGTCTGGTCCGTCTGTGTCTGGTCCGTCTGTGTCTGGTCCGTCTGTGTCTGGTCCGTCTGTGTCTGGTCCGTCTGTGTCTGGTCCGTCTGTGTCTGGTCCGTCTGTGTCTGGTCCGTCTGTGTCTGGTCCGTCTGTGTCTTGTCCGTCTGTGTCTGGTCTGTCTGTGTCTTGTCCATCTGTGTCTTGTCTGTCTGTGTCTGGTCTGTCTGTGTCTGGTCTGTCTGTGTCTTGTCTGTCTGTGTCTGGTCTGTCTGTGTCTGGTCTGTCTGTGTCTGGTCCGTCTGTGTCTGGTCCGTCTGTGCCTGGTCCGTCTGTGTCTGGTCCGTCTGTGTCTGGTCCGTCTGTGTCTGGTCCGTCTGTGTCTGGTCCGTCTGTGTCTGGTCCGTCTGTGTCTGGTCCGTCTGTGTCTGGTCCGTCTGTGTCTTGTCCGTCTGTGTCTTGTCCGTCTGTGTCTGGTCTGTCTGTGTCTGGTCTGTCTGTGTCTGGTCTGTCTGTGTCTGGTCTGTCTGTGTCTGGTCTGTCTGTGTCTTGTCTGTCTCTGTCTTGTCCGTCTGTGTCTGGTCTGTCTGTGTCTGGTCCGTCTGTGTCTGGTCCGTCTGTGTCTGGTCCGTCTGTGTCTGGTCCGTCTGTGTCTGGTCTGTCTGTGTCTGGTCTGTCTGTGTCTGGTCCGTCTGTGTCTGGTCCGTCTGTGTCTGGTCTGTCTGTGTCTGGTCTGTCTGTGTCTGGTCTGTCTGTGTCTGGTCCGTCTGTGTCTGGTCCGTCTGTGTCTGGTCCGTCTGTGTCTGGTCCGTCTGTGTCTGGTCCGTCTGTGTCTGGTCTGTCTGTGTCTGGTCTGTCTGTGTCTGGTCCGTCTGTGTCTGGTCCGTCTGTGTCTGGTCCGTCTGTGTCTGGTCTGTCTGTGTCTGGTCCGTCTGTGTCTGGTCCGTCTGTGTCTGGTCCGTCTGTGTCTGGTCCGTCTGTGTCTGGTCTGTCTGTGTCTGGTCTGTTGGATACTCTGGTTTGTCCATCTACTTTTGTCATGACTTTTTCATTGACTGATGGCTGTATTTATTTTATTTTTTTCGATTGCAGAGAACATTTTTGTACTTTTGTATTATTATTTTTTGGCTGTAGCTCGGGCATCCTTTTTTTCATTTTCTTTTTTCTTGTTTTGAACTGTCATTGCCATCTTCCATGAGTTGTCAGACCTTGAAATAATGCAAATAAAGATAATTATATGTATTTAAAAAAGGACTTTGGTAAGACTTTAGAAATACAAGCTTAAGTCTAAAAACACAAAATTAGATGATGATGGACCTATGGCTCTATGTGTTTTTTATCATTTCATTTCTTGTGTTTGAACTATTTGATTCTCTGAACTGTGTTGGCGAACCGACGGTTTTGTAAAGTCCTTCGAGATAACTACTGTTGTCATTTTGGGCTATACACAAAAAAAACTGAATTGAACTGGATTGAATTGACTTGAACCTATTGTATCTCGCAACAGGAGCAGTCTCACAGCGGTCCTCAAGTCTCCCATGTCATCGAGTCTTCAGGTTAAGACTGGGTTTGGTCTGCTCCTGCTTGGTTGGAATGAAAATTTCCAGCCACACTGAACCTTTCTGGAACAAGTTTGACAGGCATGGTGTAAGGCCCTTTGGAAATGTGTAGCTCTCGTCCTCTACAGTGTTAATAAGTACCTTTTATGTCCTTTTTATGTCTACTTTTACAAGCTCCAATTATTATTTTTGTGTGCATTTTTGCAACTGTTGGCCTGGGCTAATCTGTGCCGTCAGAATTAATTTGAGCAATTTGGACAGATGTTTAAAGTATTAACCCTTTCGGCCCCAAAGCATTGCTTCATGAGCGCCTGAAGCTCCCCTCTACACAGCCATCTCACTTATCAAAACCGTACATTTTTCTTATCATTAATTCTGGATATTTATTATTGTCGCTCACTTACAAACAAACAAAAACGCCACCTTTGGTCTGGTGGTGGAGAAGTATCTGAAAAAGCAGAAAAGTTTCAATTTCTTGACTATTCTGACGCAACTGGAACACGGCCACTTGAATTTATTTATTATTGTATAGTTCCAAATCACAACAGCAGTCGTCTCGAAAGACCTTACAAAGTTAACAACAACAGAGAATCAGTTCAACACGGGAAATGCAATAACTTATTTGATATTGAGATTTAAATATAATATATACAGTACTTAAATGTATAATGAAGCACCACTGGAGTCAAAATGGCGGTGAGACTTGTTGGACTTTGTTTGTGGCTCTTCTTTCTAGAATGAAAATGTGAAAGTGCAGTGTTTACCTGTTGAAGCACTTGTACACGGGTCTATCGGGCTGCAGTTCGGGGTCAGGCATGTGGATGTTGAGTGTGTCGGCCAGCGCTGGGTCACTGACGATGGCCTGGTGCCACGGAGAGTGGTAGGACTTGGGGACCGCAGTGCTGTTGAACTTCTCTGGAGGGAGGTCTTTCATGGGACCAGTGTAACCTGAAAACACACATTCACAACGGGAAACAATTATTCATCAACTCAATCAATCCAAAAGAAGTATTGTCTTAAGTGGAGAACTGAAAGTGAGATAGAGGACGACTCAAACCAATAACAAGAGTAAATGAAAGAACATTTTCGAGAGATGTTAGTGGAAAACCCTGTGTAGAAGTGGATTCAGGATCTGCTTCTTTGCCGCCTAAAGGGTTAAAAATTTATGTAATTATTGTTAATTTTTTCGTAGGGGCAGTGTTGATGAGTATTTCTAATCACGACATTACAGTTTTCATCTGTTGGTCAGAGATCGATTCAGAAACAGGCAGCATTTAAGATAGATACTACATTCAATATTTGCGTTCATGTAATTCAATCTGGAGAGACTCGAACAGGCAAATCATAGTATTAGAATTGTATGTTGATTTGCAGATACTCTGACACTACATGATTTACACATATGACACTAAAGACAATATTTTCAAGATTACATTTATTGCGCTGAACAGAATGTGGTGAAACCCCCCTGGGCCTAGACCCTAGTGGAGGTAGCTGAGAGAAGGATGAAGGAGCTGGCCTAGAACAAGGCGGAGATGGGGAGGAGGAGGGTTGCGGCGTGAATGAAGCTGCTGCTTGGATGGAGCTTCTGCGCGATATGAAGCTGATGCGGGCAGTACCTGATTGCTGCAGGTGAGGATTTGTGTGAGGCGCTGCGCAGCTGAGTGTGATTGACTGATTGCTGTTGCCGTGAGCAACAGCAGGAGAACTGAGCGCTCCTGTTTGGGAACGCTCAGTTCTCCTGCTGGGTTCTCAGTTCTTCCGCTCTGAATTTCCACTTTAAGTTTCATAACTATTCTATTAGTGGACATTAAACAAACTATGTGTTCAACAAAACAAATAAACACTGTCAATTTTGTTTCAAAATTTAGGTCCCAGTTGCATTGTTTTAATTTTATTTTCTAAGAGATCCTTAGCAATTCCAATTCTCTATTATTTTACAAATTTTACCACAACACATAATGAATTCCTTTTAACTGCTTTTTTACAGTTATATTTAGAAACAAAGCAGTTCTGCAAATGACACTGCGACCTCATTTTAATCTCATAACACTCTTTCACTGTGTGTGTTAGTGTGTGCATGTGTGTGTGTGTGCGTGTGCGCGTGTGTGTGTGTGTGTGTGTGTGTGTGTGTGTGTGTGTGCGTGCGTGCGTGCGTGCATGCGTGTGCGTGCGTGTGTGTATGTGGGAGAGGCCCATCCAAAGCCCTATCCTTCAAACAGCGCGGCTCAGTGGGGGCCCTCACGAGCCCTCGCTGTTACATAAGACCCCAGAGCACAAAGTCAAGTCCCAAACAATGAACAATCCTTTTTCTTCCCGAGTTTATGCTCTGCCTCGACGGAGGAGGAAGCAGGTCAGACCAAACAAGGAAGCGCACTGGATTTTAGGGAAGAATCTGTGGCAAAAGCTAATGAATGATGAGAAAATAATGTCAGTTGTTGAATAAATATAATTGATCTTGTGAGAAGGGTCATTCTGTATAATGCCAGTGATTGTAAACACGGTATTACAGTTTTATTTATAGTCTGTGAGAACCACATGTGTCCACACGCAAACTAACATGTACAGATGTAAACATACAACTACATGTTTCTTGCAGTTGAATATACTGTATTTTACATTTGCTTCTATATTATGCTAAGTTACAGATTTTATACTTACTTCTTTATTATGCTAAAGTCAAAGATTTTATACCTATTTCTTGCTTCTTCATTATTATTATTATTTTTTATTTCGAACCTGCACAATACATATTTTTACATATATCAATATAACAGACAAATAACCCGTACCTGGTTCGAAAAGGAGTTGGATGAAGCAAGTGCTTATTTGGTTCCAACCCCATCAGACAAAGTGTTTTAACAATATCATGCAGTAGAATTCTCAAACATACAACGGTACTTTACAAACAGTAATACAATACTACCACGGATGGTATAATATGACAGACAACACTAAACACACACACACACACACTGTGACAACACACAGGTCCAAACACTCTCCGACCCTACACCTCTCTCTCACTACTTGCTCTGTGCCCAAGGCATCACTCTTCCATATATTTGTTCAATATATATTTTTTAAACATTCTTTTAAATGCGATCAGGTTTGAGCCGGTCTTTAATTAATCTGATAAATCGTTCCAAACAGCGGCTCGACGCACTGAGACACACATTGATGTTAAAGTAGTCCTACATTCAGGCACATTCACTTTTTTATTGCCTCTAAGTCTATACTCATGAGGAGCATCTCGATCATGGAAAAGGTTCTGTAGCTTCGATGGCAGAGTTTTCAGATTCCCGGAACACTATTTGAGCAGTTTTAAATGTAATCACATCTTGCAGTTTCAGTTCTCCTAAATGTATGAACAGTGGGTTTGAATGATGTCTATAATGGACATTTGATACAATACAAATAGTGATTAAAAGCTTCAAGTGAGATTTACAGCAGTTTCCCCAAACTTCCACACAATAATTTAAATATGACATAATAAAAGAACGATACAATAACAATAGAGCATTATGCTAAAGTCAAAGATTTTATACCTATTTCTTGCTTCTTCATTATGCTAAAGCTAGAGATTTTAAGCTTGCTTGTTTATTATGTTAACGTAAAATTGTATTGTATTCCAGTATATAGTTATTATTGATTTATCTTGTGTTGTGTTCTCCTCAGTCCTACTGTTCTATAACCGGTGATGCAACACTGACAATTTCCCCACTGTGGAACAAATACTTGAAAGACTTTAGTGTGGCGACTGTGAAGTGTCTGGGAGTAAAGTTTTGTTGTGTTAGAAAAAAAAATCACCTGGAACTCTTATGAGCCCTCCCTCAAAAAATCAATAACCAAATTAAAAAAAACAGTTTACACAAAAAACCTCACATGAAGATCCTTAAACATTATTTATTTGAACTATAAAAAATAGGCACATGATACAAAATATTAGCGATAAAATTGTTAAAACTAGTATATACATGTACACATAATTATAATTGCTCCGGAAATAAATCATTCTATTTCAAGATCCCTTTTCCATCTGCAAATTCCCGGCGTCTTTTTGCCGTCGAAGCACAACCACGCCCTGATATACGGCGGAGTAAACTTAGACTTCTCACATTTGATACGAGTCTGAGCTCACTGTAGAGAAGCCACATCAAACACACCAGAAATAACCACAGACCAGAAGAAGACCACAGACCAGAAGAAGACCACAGACCTATGGGTTTGACCACAGACCTATGTGTTTGACCACAGACCTGTGTGTTTGACCACAGACCTGTGTGTTTGACCACAGACCTATGTGTTTGACCACAGACCTGTGTGTTTGACCACAGACCTGTGTGTTTGACCACAGACATATGGGTTTGACACATGGATCTATTATAATAACTGGATAGGGTGTTACTAGCTTGTAGCTGAATAACTCATGTGCTCGGGGGATTCTCGCGGTACTGCAGACTAAACCAGACTAAATTCACCCAGAAATTTTCCACATAGGACTCAATGCATATTAAAACAGCTTTAATAAAGGTCGGATTTTGTGGGGATTTTAGTGTCCCTTTTTTTTCTTCTTAAATCCTTCGGTTTTGTTTAAATCCACACTTTAGTGCCACAAACTCTGCTCGTCTGTCTCTCGCTCTAACTCCCGCTCTGATGAACTGCTCTGATTGGTCAGAGCGCAGCCGAGCCCCTCTGTGCACGTGCGTGAGACCCGGTGTGAGACCCACACACGCGTGTTTGCCGCAACGCATTATGGGAGATCATCCACTGCACAGAACCGGGAGGACCAGACGATGCCCAAATACAGGCGAGTTTCCCATAGATCTTTGCGAGTTCCAGACGACTTCCGCTAATCTTTCAGCCCCCATGCCGTCACAAAGCGCCACTGAGCACAACCATTAATTTGAATAGGCTGCCATCTTGGATCGCCGGGGCTTGGTTTGACCACAGACCTATGTGTTTGACCACAGACCCATGTGTTTGACCACAGACCTATGTGTTTGACCACAGACCTGTGTGTTTGACCACAGACCTATGTGTTTGACCACAGACCTATGTTGACCACAGACCTGTGTGTTTGACCACAGACCTATGTTGACCACAGACCTGTGTGTTTGACCACAGACCAGAGGTGGGACAAAGTCATTGTTTAGCAAGTCACAAGTCAGTCTCAATTCATTGCCCTCAAGTCCCGAGTCAAGTCACGAGTCAAGACAGGCAAGTCCCAGGTCGAGTCCAAGTCAAAGGCCAACAAATCTCAAGTCAGTCCCAAGTCCTACGGTTTGACTTTCGAGTCCTCTCGAGTCTTTTTGACCGCGATTTGTTTCTTGTTGGTCTCCACGTACTTTTGTAGGCAAACAAAATAATGTTAGGAATCATTTTGCTGGTGCATTCTCGTTGGTCTCTGACCCATGGACTAACAGTTTGTTCCATGTCGTTGGCTGCTGGTAAATCAAAACTATCTACGTGATCTAATTGGATGTTGTGCCAGATGCAGGCTCAGTTACACATGCACAGACCACACATAAAATCAGAGCAGTCCGTGTCAACATACTTTTTATCTTTGGGGTTTTTAATGGGAAGTAGCAAGTGCAGCAGTGCAGCATATATGAATATGAGTATTGGGCTAGGACCTGTATCTATATAATCAGTTTAATGTCCGTAGTGGTTATTGTTCCAAAGGACTGAAGGGACCAATGGAGGGGAAGGACCCTGGCCTGTATGAACTGGACCAGCATTAGTAATATCTCATAATTACCAATATATCATTACATAATAAAATGTCTCATATAAATTAATTCAATCAGTCAAAGCACTGATTCTCATATCAATGCACCATAAACAATAGTGCAAATATTAATCTAGCTTAGTGCACATAATCAAAACAACTATCTAATGTATGCAAACTTTAGCAGGAGGAGCACAGCAAAAACATACTCATAATA